AAACCAGGGGGCCAGTCGAGATCTACGTCGGGTCAGAGGCCGCAAAGGCACGACTCGGTCCAATGCAGCGGCGGCAGTTGTCTCCCAAGCCGCCGCCTGGTTTTCCGCCGAGTCGTGGACCAGATCCTCCGGATATGGCCCAAGCTCCGTCAGGAACCTTTCAGGGTCCATCAGTCGCCTGGGACGGAACCATCTAGGCTGACTCACCCCATTTTAGGGGAATGAAGGGATGGTATAGAATTCTGTGTTCTGAATTCTGCTTTCAGAGTATGTAGAATCTATTAAATAAAGTAGGAATGAGCTTTCACTGAATTTTTATCCTAAGGTAACATTCCCAACATACTGGAACAAACAGTTCCAGGGTATTTTGCTGATATGGTTTTGTTGACTCTGTATCTCTGGAATCCTATAAACACTGATAGAGATAATCATCTGCTACTGTTTACCCAGTCGGTTTTCCCAGACTGAAGATGCAGGACTCCTTGATCTTTCAAAAGCATGTTGATCCTGTTTCAACAACTCCAAATCTCTGATAGCCATCCTGATTTTAAAAAAAAAAACTGAGTTCATAGTCATTACCTATGGTAATCTATAGAACAGTAGAATGCAGGTAGTCCTCAAGGTACGATCACAATTGAGCCCAAAATTTATGCTGCCAAGTGAAACATTTGTTAAGTGAATTTTGCCCCATTTTACAACCTTTCTTGCCACAGTTGTTAGTGGAACCTTTGCAGTTGTTAAATTAGTAACACCGTTGTTAAGTGAATCTGGCTTCCCCATTGATTTCGTTTATCAGAAGGTTGCAAAAGCTGATCACATGACCCCCAACACTGCAACCATCATAAATATGAAGCAGCTGCTAAGTGTCTGAATTTTGATCAAGTGACTATGAATATGCCGCAATGGTCGTAAGTGTGAAAAATGGTCATAAGTCCCTTTTTTCCGTGTTGTTGTAACTTTGAACAGTCACTAAATGAACTGTTGTAAGTCACAGATTATCTGTAATTTTCCCCTGGTCTAAGTTCTTCCTTCCTTGCAGAAGGAATGGCATTGATCCTTATTGTTTTTAATAATGGTTTTATATTTAATGGTATGCTTGATGAAGTTTAATAATTGACCAAGTAAATGAATTTGGAGAGTTAAGAGCTATTTTGTGTTGAAACAAAGTCAAGCTGAATCCAAATGCTACAAAAATAAATTGACCAGGAAGAAGCATGTCTGTATTTTTACAGATGCTAAAGCAGGAGATAATTTAGAAAAAAATATTCATCATCTTGCTTTCTTTAGGGTTAGGGTTATATTACTTCTATCAGTATGATCACTGCCTTTTCATGAGAGTGTAATCCAAGCAACTAAAAAGTTACACTGTTCCTTTAAAGAATATCAAAACAGATATTTATAAACACATCTATTAAAGAGCAAGCATCCCATTACTGGAAAATTTATAACTTCTATTGATGAAGACTGCACTGCACAATATTATTAGATCTCTTTCTCTCAGACACAAATATACACACTCCTACATACACACACATACACACACTCAACTTCCCTTTGCCCACCTATACAGCTTCAGCCAACAGAGATGTGTGCCCTCATCCCCACATAACAGGATAACATACATTTACCATAAACACACATGCAACCAAACACACATAAAAGTCCTCTGCGATACTGTACCTAAGAGGTGACATTGTTCCCCTGTGATGGAAATTTGACTCACATCTGAA